GGTGGGAGCTCTCAACACAAGTGATGGTTCCTGACCACACAGTTATCGGTATAGAAAAGAAAAGCTGATAACCCCAGGCAGGGTAAAGGTGTTTACAGGACAGTCAAGCACTTCACATTGCAATGTTCAAAACAAAATGAAAAAGAAAAATCAAACTTTGCAGCAATCACTTCTCCTCCACCCCCTGTCCACTGCAGTTCACTCACTACAGATATCTGAATATTTTCAGTGGCCTCGTTGAGACGTGGCCAGCAATATTCTGCTTTCAGAAAAAACACAGCGCACCTCCTAAGGCAGCAAAAGTAAGAGGTCGTTTTTTTAAATTATTAATTCCAAACCATGGGGAGTGCCACTGTCCATAACCCCTGTCACTGCTGGACCACGTCACCTCCAAGGCTAGCAACGCTGACGAACAGAACCTATTAAGTGGTTCACTAAATCCAAGCGCACCTCCGAGGGAACAAAGAGAAGCGATTTCTCTCCAGCTACTGAAACAAGGTAGCCCATAAAATGTCACGTATGTTCTTCTCAGGTGCTCAGCACTGTAATGCCTAAGGTACTATAAAGCCCCTGGAATTAAGCAGAGTCCGAGAGATTGTTCTAGCTCTTCTAGCGAGATTGGAAATTAATACAGACTAGGCTGACCCTTCCACTCGCTGGGATTTAGGCAGCTTGTCAATATCACGAGTAAGAGAAAGGACAAACACAGGAAAATTGCAATGAGAGATCTGCTTATCTAGCTAAATGCACAAGCCCCACCACTGAGAGCAGAGAGGACAGAATGCAGAACAGCTCCTTGGAATAGCTGTGAAGCAACAGATACTTTTCAAACGCAGCTTGGCAGCACCACCGCTTTCTGAAACAAAGGGGGCTGCAGCCTCCCTGACACCTCATGAAAAATGGTGTCTAAAAATGAGTTAATGTGAAATGCATCACCGCAAAAGGAATATATAAAACCTGAAACGCAGGACACGGGTTCCACAGCGAGGGGCACACTAGCAATTTCTACAGAAGCGTTCATTTACAGTGTGTCAAAAGCTAATCCAGGTCAATTCACTACCTAAAAGTCAAGGTTTTGCGGAACGCCTGCTCTTTTCTTGCTCAGTGCGCTCCCTTTCCCGAAGCACAATCAATGCCAATCAAACCCCGCACATGAGCAGAGCTCTAGTGGAGAGATGCAGCCCATACAAATGAAAAATGCCACGAGCCCCCCTGGAAAGGCAGCCCTGACAAAGCCTACAGCACCACTCTTCCATTAGAGCCTTTCATAAAACACAGCCAGAGCGCGAATACAGAGCGCTGGCTCGAAAGCCCTCCCGAGTCATAAATCACATGGTACATGCGCAGCATAAGTGGAGTTTATTCATGACGGACAGTATTTCAACAGGGCTTGATGGATGGGTGAGGAAAAGGAGCCAGACTTTATGGAGGAGGGAACTAGTTACACAAGAGATTCTTCATTACCGAGAACCTTAATGATATAAAGCACAGCCAAACAGAGACAGACTGAAAGCTGGGGCTGTCCTGCTCTTCTCTGTCACTGAAGCAGGCACTGTCACCTCTCTGCAGCTGCTGCCGCTCGCTGCCTACAAGTACCAGGCAAGAAAGGCACAAGAAATCGGTCCACACATCACTACACAGAAACTCCACTGACAAGCGGCTCTGCTCTGAATTTACAGCAGTGCCCTTAGGAGGAGATGCTGGACTGCACTGCAACCACGCTGCTGCAGCTCAAGGCAATGGAAAAAAAAAGAGCTCTCATGAAACTCTGCATGGCAGAAGGTAAATTGTTCAGATCCACCCCACTAGCACATCAAACCAACTCCTGACTGTCCCTCCTGCCCACAGGAGTTCAAGTGGAAGACAAGCCAGTCCACCCCTGTTTAAGAATGGCTCCCAGCTGTAATCTGAGCTAAACCGGGTTCCTCAAGCACCTGTTATTCTTGGACACGCTCGTTTTGCACCATACGTCAGGAGCACAAAATGAAACTTTGATACTAAGCAGGAAGAGAGGGCAGCGAGCACAGCATGTTACATGGTTGTGGGGAAATAAAACCAGGACACTGGATGCACCATCACTCAAGGACCGACAGCTACCAGAGCAAGAGCAGTTACAAGCATCACTATGGCAGCATTCTCTGTCCTAGGAAATGCTGGTGGCAACAGCTTATAAGGGAAAGGCCACATGATTTTCATTCCATACTTGCTACACAAACCACCACCACCACAGCTTTGGACAGTTGGCTCAGGACACAGCTTTCCCCACAGACCAAGAGAAGTCAAACACCTCCCTCCCCCCACCACAAAGCTGCATCACCACCACTGATATCATCATCACCGCTACTGCTGACCAGGAACGAAATACCCTGTTGTGTGCCCACAGGAGCGCTTTGCTATCTCGTAGCACAGACAGAGAGCAGACAGTGCCCTCTCCCGGCAAAGAGTGCATGAGAAATGCTACTGGCAAAATTGTGATTACGACAATTCAAAAACGTAAGTGGGAACTTTCAGAAACCAAAGCTGCCTATACGACACTTCAAAAACATAAGTGGGAACTTTCAGAAACCAAAGCTGCCTGGAAGAAAATCAGCTTAATAATAATAATTTCTGCTTCCCTTCTCTCACCCACACACCCAGGAGGGAGGGCCATATGGAACACTCAATGCCTCCAGGCAGTTTAAACAAGAACTATGAGTTATTGCTAGGGACCCATACTCAAAATTGGTCACAACAGGAAGGTAGCTCTCTGCTAAAACCAGGACTGATCTCACCAAACCGTCTGACAGCACAAGGGTGCTTTTGTGGAAAGAGCGAGCTAGCACAATGGAAAGGAAGTCATGAAAGGTACTTGCACCCAGATTACCAGATGGATTAGAAAGCTCACTGCTCTATCAGGTTCTAACTAATTTGTTCAGCTTCTTTTTCCAGGTACACCTTTTCAAGTGTTAATTTAACCAATATGACCTAATCAGTGTATTGGTTTATAATACACTTAAGGAAAAAAAAAAGGTCACATTATTTACCTCCAATATCTATATATACAATTTTTTATCACTTTGTGGGAAATAAAAGTCACCCTGAATGGCATGGTATGGTAAGCTATAATAGGTTTATTTAAAAATACAGCTGTCCTCTCCGTGTACTGTGATCTTCTAGTCTTGTTAAAGAGCCTCTGTCACCAGGGCCTGGAAGACTTAATATATGACGTTTATTATGATTAGAAATCATTTGTACAGCACTGTAAATTCACACAGCACTTTCCCAAGACCATTTATAAGTCTAATGGCACTATAAATCCCCGTTAGCTTCCGCACTTTATTCCCAAGAATCTCTATTTATTCAAATGATCTTGTCCCCCCCCCACCCCACTGCAATCTTGTCTTTGAACACATCAAGCCACAGCCCCACACTGTGCTGCCCATCTGCAGGTGTCAGGCTGGCTGGATTGCTAACAAAGCCCTGGACTATACACTTCAAAAAAAAAAATAAGGTTTTACTATTGGAACCAAATGCCCCTAACAACAGCACGATAATGACACAGATATTTGGCTTTCAAAGCGCGCTGGCAGCAATTGCTGCTGTTTGTGTTACTATTCTCAGTGAACAGCCCCAACATGCACGAGCACTCCTCTCAATTCTGGTGATCTGCATTAAACTGCTCGAGCACGCACGCATGCAAGCAGCAGCAGGCCCTCCCCCTGCCACCACACGTACTTGATGCTATCGGTGTGTGTTTTATACTCCATGATGGTGTTGGGAGGTAGGTTGAGCACTCTTCGTAACGTGTCACGTATCCGGGCTGTTGTGGCCTGGTCGCTGGCTGTCTTGTTCCATATCGAGATAATATCCTCCTACAAAATAGCATGCGAGGGGTAAGCAGATGGCACTTTTTGTAGCCCTGCCAAATGCAAGTAGATGCCAGCTCTCAGAACCGCTTACCTGGAATCGGACAGAGACGACTGCCCCACAGATTTCTTCCCCCACCATAAACTGTTCTCCCAACATTGCCAGAATGAGATTCTCCCAGCATCGCGATGCTAAGCCCTTCCGCAGACGGATAATCCATTTACCACCATTTTTGTTGGCGTCGTCCTAGGAAGAGGGAGCAAGAAATCAATTTGTTTTCTTCTAGCTATTTTTCTGCTTCCCACAAAACAGCAGAGCCCCAGACAGGAGCAGCTATTGATTGTGTGGGGCAAGGGACAGAAGGGAGATATTCTCAAGCTAAAGCATTTCACTTCTCCCCCATGCAAACAGACAGAGGTACACCACTTACTTTGAATACCAAGTATTTGAAACAATGACTCTCAGCATTGCAGACAAAGCTCTATGCACTGAAGACTTGAGCTCTGCAGTTTTGATCCCACTAGCAAAGACTACCGCTAGCCTACCAATCTGCACACAGAACCTGAGGCAAGGACCCTCAAACCATTCCTAAAACAGAGAATTATTTCCCCTTTGTCTAATCCCTTGTAAATGTAGTTTTGCTTGTAAAACAGGAAAAATACCTCATCACAGAACATGGAAGTCAGGGGAGGAATTTGCAAAGCGATAGTTAAAGGCAAGTGAAAAGTCAAAAACCAGTTTCCTTCCACACTTCCAGGAATGAGCTCACAAGTTGTGTTAACACACCATACAGCTGGGTGCTTATCCCAGACTGTGGTGACCCAGGGCAATAATACAAAATGAGAGGAGAGAGTTAAGTAAAAAATTATGCTAAGTACTCGGTCTGTTGCCTTAATATTCTGATTTCATATATTGCACCTGAAAAAGAGCTGAGAATTGCTACAGACTTCTATGCTTCACAGAACGCACACCTATGTCAAACAGCAGCTCCTCCGCTGGACACAACACTCTGGCTGTAGCTGGGATCTCCTATGAGGTGAGAGAGGATCAAATCCCATCCAAAGCCATAAAAGAGAAAGGTAGGAACAAGTCAGAGAGGCAGCAGTTAGGTAGGGAAAGGGAAGACAGGTCTAGGACAGAAACAGAGAAGAACAAAGGATAATTCAGATGGGACCGCACAACATAGGACACCCCTGGCCAAATTACCAGCAATCCCCTCTGCCAAGCTGGGACACCTTAAAGATGCGAGGCAAGGCAGTCCAATGCTTCTTAACAAAACAAAGTTAACTTTATTTTAGCTTTAAAGCTTCTCTGGAGCTCAGGTAAAACTAAACATTGGTGTGCTCTCAGAGCCAGCCAGTGCTCATGAAGCAAGCCTGAGCAAACGTGGAGGTGCCAGCGCAACAGCAGCATTCACCAGGCTCCCCAGTTTTCAGGAGTGCACTAAAGCCTGCGCTGAAAGGGGAGAACATCAGCTCTGGACAAACCTCAAAGCAAGACAGCAGCCACATGCAAGGTGAAGAATCCAAATCAACACAAATTCCAGGAATGTGCCATACTCCCACGAGATGCAAATCACTTTCTGATTTAGCGTCCTTGTTTTCCAAGCTGTGAGTACCACACTAAGAATTAAGCCATCTGGGCTTCAGCCTTTATGCACGGAGTTGGGTTTAACTCCTCAAACTTTCCACAATGACTAACGGGGGTCAGAAGTGGAAATGGTATTGCTCAAAATATATCAAAGGTGGTTTAAGTAGGTTCAAGGCTAGAAAGACAACAGAGATTGGGAGGCAGATGCTGTACTGTGCGTTTTATGGTTATTGTTAGTTTTCTTTCAGGTTAAACAAGCTTCAGTTCAGTCAAGCATTTGATTTCCCTTTACCAGAATAACGATCTGCAGCCCAGTAAAACACCAGGGAACATTATGCTTAGTGCTTCTGACTTCACTTAGAAAACTACATACGCAGAGAACTACATACACAGATACATGTGCCTACAAGAATGACAGTAAGTAAGGATTAGTTTGAAAGAGAAAGGAGCAGAAACAAAGCCCTACAAAGGAAGCAGCAAAGGGAAGGCCAGCAGCAAGATCTCAGGTCCTATCCTACAAATACAAGAAAGGAGTGGGGCTAGAAGTTAAAAACCAAGGAGTCTCTCCACCTCCATCTTAAAATGGCTACAGGGAAATGCCTTATAGAAATTCTGGCATCATTAACTTGTGGACTCTGGTTGACACGTTATCAGAGCAGCTAGCTCACTAGGACTCTGGAGAGGGTTAACCGCTTTATATAAATTGTATTTGCAGTAACTGGCTATAAAACACCTTGCTTAAAATAATTGCCAACTAGGGTCACATATATATTTCTCAGGACCAAGCAGCATAATTAGGTACTTCACAGCATCACATAAAATCCTCATATTGCGAATGGGATTGGTCATTGCTGGAAGCAGGCCAGGAACTGGAAGAATGATTTGCTGGGCAAAGATTTTTCTTACTCTTTTTAACAGATTTGGATAGGAATGAACTAAGTGCCCTGAACAAAAAAAAAGGCAAATGAAGGGCTAAGCCTTCTTTCCATCTTCAGCTCTACATACATACAGCTGTAGGCTTTTAACCACATGCACCTCTTCCTTCCCTGTCTGAAAAAGGAGGGTTGGTTTCTTTTAAGATTTGTTGAGTTCTACTTGCAGAGGTCCAACCCTTCTAGAGGAAAACCCCACACTGCTGTCACTGGAACACGCTACAGCAAGTGTCCACATTAGGAGGCAGAGAGCTCAGTTGGGGTCCCTCCCTCATTGGGTTTCAGGCAACATTGCCCAGAGACCCTTTGAACGCAGATTCTGCAGACTTTTTGGAAGTGCAGTCAGCAACTCTCTGCATCTTCCTTCTCCTTTGCCCACAGGTCACAGGGCTGCTGGGTTACCTGGGACAGTTCTGAGGATAAGTTTACAGGAAATGCAGAAGAAAAGACTGTACCAAAGAGAAGCCTGGAGTGCCATTTAATGACGAGAGTCCCTTTGCTGTAGAAGGCCCCCTCCAGAACACTCTGGGAAAATACCAAGGCAGAAACAAGAGCTCCAACTCACCTCCCACATGGGTTTGATGCCCTCTTTAAAAAGATGGAAGTCACTGTGGCCCGTCAGGTCCCCAGGACGTACCATGTGACTGTAAAACCGCCAGAACTGCTCCACCTGCAACGACACGAGCCACACCGTGAGGGTGCTCAACCGTTCACAGCCAAAATTCCTGCAGGAACAGGCTTCCATTTCTACACCAGCTGGCCAGAGCCACCTTCCCCTCTGCTGCTCTACCTCCTTGCCACAAGCGTGTTGATTAGGATGCCCAGGTAGGATCAGAGCTTGGGTGGCTGTTTCTGACTGTGCCATTAACAGACAACCACCTGAAGTATTCAACAGGTGCCTCCAAAGTTACTTGGTGTTTGTCTGAAGAAATCTGCTCTGGAGATCAGTTCCAAACATACCTTGTAAATCCCACTGCCCAAGCTTTCAATTAGTGGATCTGTATCAAGTGCATCAGCTACAGCTGAGCCTCTCTACCCTATACACACATTAGCCCTGCATTAACCACTGCTCTCTGCAATTGCAGAGACTACAGGAGCCTCCTAATGAGACATTTTCTTTCTTTAATTTTACTGTATCCAGGTTTTAAAACAAATGACACGTTCTGGTGCTGGTTTAAGATCTTAAGGCACCATTCAGAGCTTTTACTTAAACACCTCTTATTTCCTTTCACAATCTGTCTTGGTACACACCAACTACTTCCCTTTGACCAGTTTCCATTCTGGCACCCCTGTGTCTGCTTCAGACAACCTGTCCGGAAGGCAAGGGAATTATCTTTTCTAATTCTTCAAAACAGCGCATTTATCCTTTGAGATTCTCTGGATGAGAAAGGATTTTAGAGAGGCTGGATCATTATAGCAAAACAAGGCAGTGGAAGAGATTACATTAGTGACTAAGAGGACCCTGCTCAGTAAGACAATAGCCGTTAAGCAGATCAGTGGGGAGGCTGGAGGGGTCAGACACTACCCCGAGTGCTTCGTCAGAGACCTTAACGACTTGGTCAGAGTGTGGAATTTGGCTCCAGTCACTGACCTCTGCCACCTATGCAGGAATTTGCTTTTACAGCCGATAAAATTATGAACCAAGACTGAGGTGGGGTCAGAAGCAATCTATTTTTGTCAGACACATCCAAATGAAGTGCAGAAATTAAATTCTTACACCGAGTGGATATGCCCTCTAGTGGTTAACATTTAAAAGCTTCTAGAGCTTTTCTACTGAAAAGCAAAGAATAAATCTAAACCCAGATTTAGGCTCAGACAATTATTTCTGAATCTCTTCAAACATATTATCAGATCTGCTGACCAGCCTCCCTCCATCCTAACTGGACTCTAGCACTGCCAACCTACAACAGCAACCACAAATTCTTTACAGAAAGGAACAGATAACAGAATGTTGTTTCCTCTAAGGAGCTAAAAATCAATGTTAAGTCTACACTGATTTAACAGACAGATCGAAATTATTGCCAGATCATCAAGCAGCAGCTGCATTTTTCATTCACTGAACTAAAAGTACTTGCGCACACAGGGGAATAGGAGCAGTAACAACTCATGATCCAAAAAGCTGAGCGATTCTTCCTACTCATATCCTGTGTGGATGCAATAACACAACCCAGATGCATGGACAGGCATATTTTTGCAGTCTCCAGAAGGGATAAAGAGACATTTTTACAAATTCTCACATTACGGAAGATATTCACCAGTGTGCAGAATGAATATTTGCAGGGGATCCTGGGAAATCTGGACAAAGTATTAGATTAAAAAACAACAATAAATAACTAAAAAGAAAGCAGCCAACAGACTTCCCAGCCTTGAGAATGGTATTGTATGTGGTGCCTCTAAAATGGAGATCTTTTGCTTATGTATCTTGGGATCTTAATGACAGCTTTACGCTGCCAGTATTGTGCAGCAACACAACACAGCCTTTCCAGGATATGCTCAGTTTATTCCAGGAATAAACAACCAGAAAGAAGGGAAGGTGAAATGGAAAGCAGTTCACCTTTTAATGAACCTCACTGCAAGATCAAACTGCACCTCAGTCATCACTCCCACACAGGCAACAGACAACAGGCCACCACTGGCTTGTATGTACAGCGTGTCAGATGTTTGCTCCAGCAACCTTTGTGGTGGAAATATGAGGGAGAAGGGCTGCATTGTACAGCCTCTGCTTCATACCTACATCCAGAAAAGCTGATCCTTTCTTCTCTTGTCTACTTGTCAGGTTCTACTCCAGCTGGCAGATTAAACTACCTGGGAGTTCTTCTCCTTTTCTGTTATTATTACAGCTACCACCATTACTGCAGGCACAGACGTCTAGCACAGGGCAGAAAACTGCTGAAAAATGTCCCCTGCTGTAGGTAATTCAAGAACTCATATGTAAGTCATGGCAAATCACTCACTCTCCTCTATTCCAGACAAGAGCACAGCCTACACATGAACACAGTGAGCACGCAGGGAACAAGCCAGCCACGACGACGGTGTCATGCCCAAGTGACACAAGAACAACAGGGATATACTCACGGAGGCAAAGGTGCCGATCTGTTTGATGTTCTGTTCATAACTCTGCGAGCTGGTGGGCCTCCCGGGGGTTCGTCTGGAGTACCAGAAGGTGTAATTATACTGCAAGGGGTGCTCAGCTGGCCCGGGGACAACAGCCTGCAGGACAGAAAAGCTTGCTTACCCCTTATAACCTCCTCTAAAGGGGGAATAGGAGCAATTACATTCACAGCATCAGAAGTCCACATGCTCCTGCCCTCACAGACTATAAAACAAACAACTGATCCTCATTTTTACACAAAAATACCATCTCTGTTAATTGTCTGAAATGGACCATTAGGCTTACAGCAGCTGACTACTGCAAAGAATATTAGAAATTTGCAGCATGGTGACAGCTAAGGAAACAACAACTTAAGCTCAGGAGAGTGTCACATACAAAAAAGCAGCATCCCTCATAACTATCAGAGGCAGTATTACTAAATTTTCCTTTAGTCCTTAACTGTTCCTATCTCAAAGGAAAAGAGACAGACACACTAAAGAAGGACAATGCATGAGTTTTAAGTTTTTCAAATTCAGAATTTTAAAAAAAAAAAGACACTCTCCTCCTCAGGGAAGAATAAAAAACTTTAATACTAAACCATGATTCAAGAGCAATTATAACTCCAACTCCCTGAAGCAACCAACACCTTAAAACGCTGGGAAGATTAGTCTGTCTTAGAACTTGTTGTGTCAGCTTTGGCAGAGCCCATGGCTTTCTGCGACCAGCAATCATTTTTTGATTTCCAGAACATCCATTTCTGATTAAAAAGACAGACATGAACACAGGAGAGGCTAACGAGAACCCATTATCTAAGAGTCAAAGCTGACAGAAAAAAGTCCCCAAAAGCCCTCATCTTCTACCATTTGATATTGTTACCAGAATAACTAGGGCTTAAATCTTTACTCTCCTCTTGTGCATGGCAAGTGTATAAGGATTGCATTACTTCAGAGAGAACAGCTTTCCTAAAAGCAAGATTAAAACCCAGGATTGATATATGCCTTCTTAACTAGGCTACCCGACACTCACAGAGACCCCATCTTCATGGTTATTTCAACAGTGGCACAAACACAGCCTGGTAAACCAACTGCAAGGCACTGCTCCCCTGTCAGTCAGTCCTTCCCCTGCTTGCTCTTCCTCAAAAAATTTTTGTGGGAAAATAAAGCTTTATTTCTAATTTCTATTGAAAAGCCTGGCAGAGCAGTAGCTGCATTTGTGAAGGCAACATTCAGCCCTCAGATCATATACGTCCAAAAGCCAGGTCAAATTATCTAAAGGCTAATGTAGCCTGTCTTCATTACAACAGTAACAGCACATTAAGCAACCACAGCCCACCACAACATATTTTCCTTACCCCTGCACTCAGGACTGACTCTCAAGCATCCCCACACCATGCCCTAGCAATGGAGTGCAGGTGCCAGCACTTTACCTTCCTCTTGGTTGTACTCTGTGGTTTCTCTCGATCGTTCTTTTCCTTCTCACTGTCTTTCTGTGTGTTATTTTCCTCATTCTGGTCATGGTCTCCACTATCATCATCTTTCAATCTGACAAAGAAAAAGAATAAAGGGAGTCTTACATCTCGCAGTTGAGAGGTTTCACACCAAGCCCCAGTTGTCTCTCCTTTTAAGCTTCTCTGTGGTGCAAGGGCCATCAGCATTTGCAAATCTACGCTTGACAATCCACACAATAAAAACAACTACTGCTTTGCATGCCCAGAGCCAATCACAGGCACCACAAGCTCACACTTGTAAGCAGATAGAGCAACAAAATACCTTTTTAGAACAAACTCAAGCAGTTCGTACTAGATACTGATCTGCCACAGAAAACCCCAGCTACTTGTTGGGGTTCCTAACTACTCAGGAGGCAAACACGAAGACCTGTCACTGTAACATCGCTGACTCTCTCCCACACAGCTCCCCACGCCCCTAAGTACAGCAAGGGCAGCGCCTCAGGCGAGCAGACACCACGCCAGCGCCCAGCACCTCACAGGTTTCTCCGCCCGCCCCATTCCCTGCAAAGAATCGGGAAAGATGAGGGAAAAGCGGAGCCAAAAGGCAGCCCACGACTCCCCGGCCGGCCCGCCCAACGGTGAGGGACGCCCCGCCCGAGCAGAGCCTTGTGCCCACAGACCGCTGTCCCCACCCCTCGGGCCCGCACCCCCTCAGGGCCAGGCAGCAGCACCCGAGCAGGGCCGAGCCGGGCCGGGCTCGGGGGTGAGGAACGGAGCTGTGCGGCCCCATGACTCATCGCGTCTCGCCCGACCAGCGCCGAGGCGGCGGCGACGGCAAGCCTCCGGCAGGGAGCGGGGCCACGCAGCCCCTCACAGCCGTGGAGGGGATCAGGGAAGGCCG